CAAACACTAACATATGTGTAAGCGCCAATCTATTATTATTATTATTTTTCATGGAAGAAATACTCTCGACGGTTTGCCATTGCCTGCAGGGAGGGAAAAACTTTTAGTAAAAACTTTTGGTTCGGATGTTGCTCGGCCTAGGAATCGAACCCTTTACTCAAGGAGTGAAAATGCGAACCTCCAACAACTCGACCACAGTGACCTCTTAGGTATTGTACCTAGAAATTTAAGAGCTTCCGAATATACAATATTACCTCTTGGTCTGTTAAGGCCTTTGTATAGCCGCGCATGCAGTTTTGATGTGGATAGAAGGTAAAGCACCCAGGTAAGGGAACCCCTCGTATGTTTCGTAAAAGAATACTCGAAATGTGGTTCAAGCGTGTCATTTATTTCTCCTCTGCTAACTTACCCGACTGTCGAGGGTAAAGATACATCCGGCCCAGAATTGTGCCATCTAAATCTAGCGAAGGCAGGACAGCGGCAAAGAAAATGTTCTGTACTATGCTCATCTTCCAAACGAGATGTATACAATGGATCGTCGATAAAGCCAATTGTCTCCTACCAGGTCTCTGGAGAAATTTTTCATCTTGATCTCGCCATTGCTCCATTGTAGGAAAGCAAACGACGTACTTTCTTTCAGAGGAGACTCCAGGTATCGGTTCGTCATTATCTGCAAAAAAAAAGGGTGCTGCTCTGACAACCTTCTCTGTGCCCGGAACTCCGATCGTCGTGCCACGATCCAAAAGAATCTAGTCAACACATTATTTCCATTGCCTGCTCTTGGATCGCTAAATCTAGAGGTGACAAGTTCACTTTAGGCGAAGCACGCGGCGCTTGCTGAGATTCAATAAACTGAAAATACGGAAATACAAATGAGCCCCTGAACTTCTTCTTCTTATTTGGCGCTGTAACCGCCTAAGCGATTTTGTACGAGCGAGCCATTAAACTAAAGACCATATAAATGCTCGGCAGATTTCTGAGTGAAAATTGTATCCAAGACTTGTACAATTGAGGTACAGTTTCATTAAAGCAAATGTTTGAACTCGCGCAAAGTTTGGGTTGTAGGTCTGATGAATTCTTCTTTCTCCTAAGCATCACAATAAAAATTTATGGCCAACGAGTGAACCGCTGATAAGAGCGGCCCATCAAGCTCGATTTGCAAATAATTTACTTACAATATAATTACAAAACAATGCGTACTTACGTATACATATACATGCATACACGGGTGTACGAGTATATACATTAGGGTTGTCCAAAAATGCATGTGAAAAAGTTAAGTCGGAATTTTTATGCTCATCCCCTAGGATTGCTCTATACCGAAAAAATATACCATTATTTTTTATTTTGAAATGAAAAAAAAAAAATTTAGAGGTCGCTCAAAGTATCCAAAATTTGCCATGTATTTTCTATAGGGAAAAAACAACTTTTCGTAGAAATTGTATAGAATAGTTAAAAATCAATATTTTTCTACCAAAAACTCTGTTCATCTGTAGAAGATTCCCAATAATAATACCCAATTGTTTGTTTAACCATTTTTTCATCGCAACTATAACTTATAGGTTCGCCAAAAACCCACAAAAACCCCGAAAAATGCAATGGGGCGACCAATAAAAAATCGTTAGTATTAAAAAATGGTTAAATTAACAATTGGGTATTATTATTGAAAGTCTCCTGAAGAGAACCGGATTTTTCCGATCGAAAAATATTGATTTTCAAGAATTCTATACCATTTCTACGAAAAATTTTATTTTCCCCATATAAAAATACAAGGAAAACTTTGAGCGACCTCTAAATATTTTTTAAATTTAAAAATAAAAAAATTGGGGTATACTTTTTTTTCTATATAGAACAATCCTAGGGGGTGAGAGCATTAAAATTCCGACTTTACTGTTGTTGGACCACCCTAATGTACAAAACATTATGTTTATCAATGACGTCTCACTAATACAAACTTTAATAAAAATAAAGAATTTCTTATTTCCGTCCTGGCTGTAACAGCGCGATGATAAAGAAAGAGACCTTGAGAAGGGCAACAAATAATTATATATGATAGCGATCCACTTAAATTAAAGACGCTTCAACAGAAATAACTCTAAGATATAGTTATATTTATGTATATCATCCGACCAGTGGAAAGACACTGGCAGGCAGACAACAGGAAAACAATAAAAAACACAGACGGCGACCATTTTTTATAATTTATTTATAAAGAAAACACATTTTGTTTTACGAAAAGTAAATCGTAAAGCTTTTTTATCGTTAACAGTAAAAAAAAGGAAACAGACAATTCAGTACGCTAAAAGAGCGAAATCACATTTACTTCTTCAACAGCAGTGGCGCTGTGTAGGCAGGAGCGTAAGGCGACGCGAAGTATGGTGAGGCAGCGTATGGAGATGCAACATACGGCGCGGCAACGTACGGAGAGGCAGCGTATGGAGATGCAAAGTAGGGTGCAGCAACATATGGTGCGGCAAAGTTTCCATGATATTCTCGGCTGTAAATTGCAGCTGATGGCGCGGCAGCAACCACCGGTGCTGAGTACGCCAGCACGCTGGGTTTAGGCTCGGCACGGACGACAGCGGCAAGGACCAAAAGGACGAAGGCGACTAGCTTGAACATTTTGTGGTATTTTTCTTTTTTTGAATTTAGCTGCTGTTATGTGTTTAGTAAGCGGATGGATAAATCGTTTTGTTATCGTTCAATTGAAAGCGCTGCGATTTATATACAATCGTCTGCATAATTTCGCTAAAGAAATAGGCAAGAACCTTGCATGCCCGTTTGGATTATTTTATACCTGGTTTTTACCAACATTAAAGACAGTTGTATTAAGCAGAAAGGCACGTGGTGGCCATGACGTACTAGACGATAGCCGATAGTTGATAGTTGATACCGTTAACGGCTGTACAGCGTAGACGTTATTGCCGCTGGGCGCTTAAAGGCTGGCTACTTAGCGACAGCTTCATAAGGAATTGCGAATGCGAATTATGCAATTTCACTACGCTGTTAATATTGGTGGTCAATATGTATATTTTTGTTTTTGTTTTTGTTTTTAATTTTTCCAACTTTTTTCTTATTATAGCCTTTTGTGATTTGTTTGCTCACTACGCGATGCCGGCGGCAAGGCAACGTGACTTGCATAGCTGATTAGATTTGCGCGTAACATCGTCCAAGCGGCGAATCGCCAACGCTAAGCAGCAAATTAAATACATACATAGAAATCTGGTAATATGAAGCTAAGCTAATATTCTGCTTTTTCCTTTTATTTGAATGAAAAGTAGCACACTCTTCGATTTTATTCTATTTTCATTCTTTCGCGATTGATTACTGTCAGTAATTGGTAAATATTTCTTTTTCCTCAAGCACTTTTTAGCGTTTCAGTGCATAAGATAATCATGAAAATGGGCAGGTAGGGAAATATTATATTTTTTCACGCAGGAAGTATTGAGACGGGAGAGAGGGAACGTTTTATTTTTTTGCCAACAGTCTGGCATCTACGAAAAGTAATCTGTTAACCATCGCCAATTAAACTATGAAAATCTACTATAAAATTAGTGTTGCCAACTTGGTGCAATTTGGCTGCTGCTCTGAAAGTCTTCAACGCGGGCCGCGATGCTGGTAACAGAGGAAGAGAAGGGCCTCCTCTGCATTGGAAAGACCAGGTGGAGAAGGACTTGGCCTCACTTGGCATTTCCGATTGGTGTCAGTTGGCACAGAAGACAAATGACTGGCGTGCTATTTGGGACTCGGCCAAAGTCGCGTAGGCGGTTACAGCGCCAATAAAGAAAAAGAAGTTAGACATTCAAGGTTGAAATAATCAACATAAAGCTGAAAATTCGTTCGTTCGATTTTTGAAAATGGGGTGTCAAGTTAAAGGGCTTAGGCTGTAGATGTGTAATAAGGTTTTACTTTTTAGAAAAGAGTTGCCACCTGTTAAATAATTAAACTGAAGTTATTTAATAATCAATGCCCTCTGATCCGCACCATTCGTTCGATTTTTAAAAATGGGGTGTCAAATTAAAGGGCTTAGGCTGCAGATGTGCAATATGGTTTTACTTTTTCGCAAAGAGTTGCCACCTGTAAAGCAATTTAGATCAAATAATTTATAAAGTTAAATCAATTGTTTTAAAATGAGTATCAACCGAAATGGTTTTGAAAAGGCTTTATATCTTAACTACGTGAAGGAGGGTTGCCACATGTTTAAAAAACGTAATTCAATTTTAATTAAAGGCATTTAGTAATTGAATAAAGTATTACTATGTGGGTTTCAGACAGAGGAGGTTTAAGAAGGTAGTAGTTTGGAAATATTTTGAAGAGGGTTGCCACCTATTTGAGAAGTCGACCTAAGTATTTTATACCCAAATTATATGAAATCAAATCAAAAATGGATGTCAATTGAAAGAGATTTAAGAAATACTTAGTTTGACAATTTAGATTATTTTTGGTGTGTTTGAGGGTTACCCCAGCTTAGAAGGTTAAATTAAAAACATCTAATAAATTAAATGAATTACTAAACGATGGTTATCAATGGATATGGGTTTAAAATCCATATGGGTTTACTAGTTATAAATGAAATGTCAAAAGTCCCCATTGATCTCACGTCTGCAAAAAAATTTATTCAACGTCAATGGTCACATAAATTAATTTTTTGCATTTTTCCGCAAAATGGCAAGTTTACCACAAAAATAGCTGAGACAAAAGTGTAGATTATGCAATTATCTGTTAAAACTGTTATAATATTTTTCTTTTTAAGAATTACCCTTTCTGAGAATATAGCGATTCAAAAAGTTGTTTTCTCCATAAAATGAAAAATTGTGTTTTTGGGGCATTTTTTTACGCTTTTTTCCCGGTAGGCCTACTCCACGACTTATTTTAGTAATTTTAATGTACTTGATAATTTGCACTAGTTTACAAGAAATTTCACCTGTGGCGCTACACCATCACTACTTATGTAAAATTTTCCGTTGAATCTGAATATGAAGTCAAAATATCAGAAACTCTAATATTTTTTTTAATTAATAATTTTTTTTTGCAGATGGGCACTTTTGGCATTTCATTCGTAAAGGTGTTGGCAACACTCGTACCAATTTTCAGCTTTATGCGAATTATTGTAAGCTTATCCCTATTTACTTGACTGGGCTATAGAGGTTCAGTATTATTTTTGAAGAACGAGATGAATGCCCTTAACTCAGATATTAGTTAAAAGTCCAAAATTTCCGCGTATTCTGTAATAAAGCTAAGTAATTTATGCACATTAAATATTCCGCCTAAAACAACAACACAATCATAGCGTGAGCAAAGCATCAAAACGTCAACAGCCTAAATATATGCTAAAGCTTTAGTTGATCGTACAAATGTGCATATGTATGTATATTTGGCTAACGCCTACCCAACTAGAAAATTTTAAATTACCCAAAGTAATAAACAAAAAATTATTTGCAAAAACAAAAATGCTCCTTTCTGAGCACACAAAACCCTTTATTTAGTTAATTTCTACTCTTCTTTTCATAACCACAAACAATGCTGTAAAAATACTTAAAGGAAATTAAAATTTCCACTTGCCGCAAAATTAAAATTAAAACCAAAATCAATAGAAAAATTTCCAATTGGCTTCAGTACCGCATTATAGCTGCTTTGCACTGGCTTGCCACGCAACAAAGCTTTCTTTACAACTTTATATAGTGAATAGCCTTTACGTTGAAGCTTAACGTAATAATATTTTAATTGCTGGTTAATATCGTCGAAAATATTTGTAGGCAAGTACTTCCAATCCACTTCCGTTGTTGTCCAGAGAACAATCACTGTCTCATTCGTGGGCCATAGGGTGTGTACGTGGTCCAAAATTACCGTTATGTTGTCATATTCATCTACTGGATTGTCAAGTTGACGGCCGCTGCCTAAAGCGGGGGAGTGCGCTGCCGGCGCTGGTGCAGCAATTGGTGTCAGCGTAGATGGGTAAAAAATTTGAACTGGCGTCTTACAAACAATTGTCCGACTGGCAGCTAAGATGATATTATACAACATTAAAAGCAACACTGCAACTAAATTTTAGATTAATAATGCCTCTAAATTAAAATTTCATTTGCCTGCTGTTTACCGTTATGATTTTTCATTTTACCACCTTGGTGTTGCGAAGCTGCTAAGCTCAACATATGCGTAAGTGTCATGCCATCATTCAGGGTTCTACATCTTTTATACCCAGTTGAGGATCATCAGTTCTTCGAAAATAATAAAATTTTATTTTGTGAATTTCTGACAGCTAATATTCTTATCCAAACGTAATTATTTTACCAATAATTAAAATTCTGCCAGTCAAAAGAATGATGCTTGCAGCTATCTAGTTATTATTAAATACATTTGTACATATGTACATTAGGATGGTCCTTAAAAAATCAAATTAACGACTTTTTCCCGTCTCACTCCTTCAATCGGTAATACCAGAGTCACAGATATCAAATATAAATGTTGGTCCCGATTGGAGTCGTTTAAGACGTCTTCATAGGCTAATCTAAACTTCGACCGCTGTGCGACAGGCCTTAACCGAATTAAATCGGGACAAAAATTTATACATATGTGATATGATCGACTATGGTTATATCGATTTTGGGTATTATATAAAAAAAAATCATATCAATTTTTTGAGTCTCCTGAAGGAATCTGAAATTTGCCCCCTGTGCGACACGACTTAACCGTTCCCAATCGCTACCAAAATTGATATGTGATATCTTCGGCAATAGTAGCATCGACGTAGGGGTTGAGGCTTAGGGAATCTCATGTAAAAATTTGCTTCCTAAATTTCAGGACCACCCTAATGTGCATATATTAGGAGGCATCATTCTCAATACAAAATAACTGAAGATGACGGTTTTCCATGGGAGTTATCAAATTTATTATATGCTATCACTTCCGCCAAAATATTTCGGAAAATATTAAGATTTGTGTGAGCTGGAGGGCTTTGAAAATATGAACCACCAAAAATTTTGTTTTTTTTTCATAAAAATACATATTTTTCCTATAAATCATATGATAGGAGAGCTTTAACTTAAAATGTGTGCAATAAAAGTGATTAAATATTAAATTTTAACAAAATAATAATTTTTTTGGCAGTATTTTCAAATCGGAGCAGCTTGCGTCTTAATCTTAATATTTTTCCGAAATATTTTATCAGAAGTCTTTAAGCAAAATAAATTTTATGATTCCGGTAGCACACTTGTATTTTTTTTTTGAGGCACCCTAATGTACATATGTACATACATATATGTATGTGTACTTTGGTGCATGCGGTCGCGTACATTTACATATGTTTTGATCACTCTACCATGGTTGCCTTCCGGCCTTTTAATTATCGCTAGACATGTATTTAAAAAAAATACTACCAAGCCCAGCCTGACTCCTCTTAATCAATACATGCATAAATATTTAAACAATATATAGAAAATGTATTAAGCAATCACCTACATACACATAGAATTGCAACACACTTTCAAAATACTTTGAATAATCCGTGCAAGAAAAAAGGCTCCTGGAGGCAACAGAATGGCGGCAGAGTTTTTCAAAGCCGGTGGCGAAGAGGTGTTTCGACACATGATGATGGTTTGGCAGAAAGTTCCAAGTGAAAATCCCAGTTTTCGAGGATTGGACAAATGGACTCCCTGTCCTTGATCGCAGATACGTCAATTTATACACAGACAGTTCAGGAATGCAAGAAAGAGTAGATGCAGATGTCGATGCACGTGGCAATAGACTCACAATCCCCTTGGGCATATGGGTCATGGAGTTAAAGGCTGAAGTTTTAGAAATTCTAACCTGTGTAAATTAGACCTTGGAAAAGGTTTGAAGGCGCTTCGATAACCATAATTACTAAGTGGTTGCATTCTGAACGCAGTAATGGAAGGAGTGGGTGCCCTTTCAATTGATTGGATAGTATCAAACCCAGCAGAAATGACATCAGGCTACATTCCGGGTACCTAACGATAACAACCTGATGCGATTTTATAGGCACAGAATAGTTGTTAACAGCGAGTCAGCTCGGCCTTGAGGACAAGGAAACTTCCGAAGACATTCTTTATAACTGTACAACCTTGGCTAGACAAAGACTAATTCATTACACAGCTCCAATGCTAATAAAAAAGATGTTTGGTCACCTGATCCTTCTCTTCCGTGAAAACATGGGCAAGAATGGGGGAGACGTTGAAAAATATCTCCTTAGGTACGACAGTACTTAGCGACGGAAGCTCCATTTTCATGCATACTTGGCAAGTTCATCTTAATGGGTCACTGTGAGCTAAGACGACGTCTCCATAAATTAGGAACCTGGTCAAATGATCTCTATCGATTTTGTGTTTCGGCTAGGGAGACGAGACTGCACCTGACCCTTGAGCGTAAGCCAGTTTCGAGACATCGAAAGCGTCTGGACTCAATGTGATCAAAGGATAACCACACACACTCTCTATCCCAAGAAGCTCTTATCAACTTTCTGAAGATTGTAGGACTAAACGGCAATATAATGTATAAGCATCAGGGATGCGAACTCATTTTTCTTTCTCTTCGTTGTCCACCACGGAATTCCCCGATTATCTTTGGGATTCCCTGCACTGGCATAATTGCTTACCAAAAAATAAAATTCTGTAATTCATTTCTTTGAATTTATTAACGAATGTACATACATATGCATAAAATAAAAAAATAAAAAAAACAAAAAACCAAAAATTCAATTCTCGAATAAAAATCACTTTTCTACCCCCCGCGCATATTGCATACTTAATTTAGATTTTGAGATTATCAGAATTATATATTTACTGTGAAATTAAAATGAATGGCAATTTATTACCTTTATAAGTATGCTATTTGAAAGAAAAAATATATAATAATAATTTGCAAGTGCCTAACTCACTGTTTGGATAACGGTGAAAAATACTTATTCGAAAAAATAAAAGATAAACTTATCAACCAATAGGTGCTATTTGTGGAATTAAAAAGTTTTAAATAATTTAGTAATTTTAGTTTGACATAGGTACTAATGTTATAATTTTAACTATAATTATAAAAAGGCAATAAATTTATCATCGAAAAAGAAAATCAACCTTCTTCCAAATAAAAAAAATTTTGCTCATACTTTTTATGGTGAAAAATGCGTATAACCGTCTGCAAAAAAATATTAAAAATCAACACGAGTCCTTAGCTGCTTCAAATTTTCAAATTATTATACTAAAACTGAATGGGATAATTATCGGCATACCAGATTTTTTTTTTAAACTCTTTTTCTATAAAGTTTGAAACTCTGATTGGTACAGCTTTTTTTAAGCTGAAACATTTTGTAAAAAAATAACAAAAAAAAAATTAGCTTTCAAAACATTGTTAAAATTTAAACAAGTTAATAGAAAAAACAAATATTTTTAAAGAAATCTTTCTAAATATGAACGAAATCGGACCTTAAATACTGGTTTACCAAATATGTATATCGACTGGTGCGCCACCTATCGGTAAAATTTTTAGTCGAGTTATTCCTTTCCATGTTTTTAATATATGTACGTTCTAAACTTGAACTAAATCGGACTATAAATGTGGGTATTGAAAATATATGGACTCCTGCGCCACCTGTCGGATTGTATATGAATGCAAGCAAGTTTATGTTTATAAAAAGTATTGTGCACACTAGGTAAGTTCTTTAATTAAAATTAAATAGTCAAAATAGCCCGCAAAGGCAGCTCATTCCCCGATTCGTTTTTTCGTGTTTTTAAATGGAATAAATTCCAAGTACCACACACTTATGCGCAGACTATCTGCAAACTTTGTAAACTCTTTAGGAAATAAGCACACAGCGTATTTAAAGAGTGCCCCAGTTAAAACAATAGCTGCCCTTAAACTTTACCAAAGTCAACGCCGCATATTCTTCGGAAGCAAAACCCTATGTTGGAATACAAGCATACGCACTGACGTCATTGCATGCAAAAGCTAATGACTGTAACATGAAAAGCATATTTATGTAGCTAAATGTAAAAACTAACGACTCACATCCGAATAAGTGGCACAAAACATGATACTCCTTTTGATGTTGCAACATTTGACCAAAAACTGACAGCGGTTCAACTTCAAAAACTAACCAAAAGAGTTCTAGAATTTCAAAGCAGACTAGAAGAGTAGTAGGAAGACACAAAAGTGCAGCACACATCCATAGACAGCATTGATGCAAACATTTGAAATGCTGCGGTATATAAGCGCTGAGAACAACCGTTTGAGAATCAAACAGTGGACAACTTTACAGTTTGAATCATATTTTCAACAACAGCTCACAAATACGGAAGATGATTAAGTTTGTAAGTAACTCGCGGCTGCTGCTAGACTAAAATATAAAGCAAATATTTGTTAACACTTAACATTTCAGCTCATTTTGATTTGCTTCTTTGCCATGGCATTTGCGCGTCCTGGTTACCTGCACTCGGCGCCCATCCTAACCACCTACCGTGAGCAGCACGTTGCCGCGCTGCCAGCCGCAGTGCATATCGTGGAACCATTGGTCACCACACACCAAATTGTAACACCCTTACTGCGTGGCGCCATACTCAACCATGGCTTGCACTGAGCCACCAAGCCGCAGGAGTCTCACGGACTGAATGGGCAGCAGCAGAAAAAATATATAGCTAAAAAAAAAATGGAATTACTTTAAATGCCTATTAAACAAAGCGCTGCAATAAGAAAACAAAAAAAATGCTTATTTTTTACTTTTATTTCACTTTATTTCATACAAAATTATTGGAAATCCTTTGAAATGTTCGTGCCTTTTCCGCCTACTAAATAAGCTAGTGTATAAACTCATAGGTGACCGGTTTGTAGTCGGAGCGATATTGCTGCTGGAATGAGTCCGGTGTCTGCACGCTGTTGTAGGTCTCCACAGCCGGCAATGGCACAGCTGCCTGATAGCGCGAATAGGCCAAAGGTAGAATGGCGGCGCTGCGTGCTGCAGGCACTGCTATGGGCAGTGGTGCATAGTAAGCTGCTGCGGCGCTGCTGGCGGGCGTATAGTAGATTTCAGCAGCCCAGGCAACGGTGCCCAACAGGCAAGCGAAGATCAACTGAAAAGAGACAATTTCTGAGATGAGTAAGAACGATTAAAAAACAGGTTGACTGCAACACGCGATACATGTCGCAGTAGTTTTGTTTCTTTAGTCGTATTAAGTTAATTACATTTTGTCTTACCAATTTCTGCATGTTAGCTTAGTTATCGTTATAGTGTTATCCGTCTCTCTTCGAAAATAGTTCTTACTCAAGCTGCGACAAGTGCACTGCTATAACCAACGGCAATGCGTTCGCACTTTTATATAAGCCATCCTTCTTCTGTTCTGGCTAGACGCAGCGCTCCAAGCAATGACTGCAGCAGCAGCAGCAGGAACTACATATGTACATATGTATGTATGTAGCAATAGCAGTAAAAGCATTAACTAGCCAGCAATGCCAAGGACAGTCGTACAAGGTTACGCCGCATTGAATAAAGCTTCACTTGTTGCCACGTTCTAGAATGGTTTTGCAAGTGCTAGACATTCTTGTCATCCCAGTGTTTGTATAGTTGTTAAAAGGGAGAAGACCAGGATGGCGACGACTGCGTGCAGGCTGCATATGATAAACATAAACATACATCTTCTTCGAACGTTGGAATGCTGAATTAAAGTTAATTTGAATGTTGATTTGTAGTTATGGCGCGAGTGGATTGTCAAGATTTTCTATATGGTTGGACTTAAGCGCTCGGTAAGAGTAATGATAAACGTGAACATTTACCCGGCAGTGAAAAGCTGAACCAGTATGTACAAATTCCAGTTCCTGAACTATTTTTAAGGATAAAAGTCATACCAGTTTGTTATGAACCATAATTATATCAGTTCCTCGTGGGAAAAAGTGAACTAGCTAGTAGAAATTCTAGTTCGAAAAGTGGTATTAAATGGGGAAGTCATACCAGTTCGTCATGAACTATAATTCTACCAGTTCTCGGCAGTGAACCAAACCAGCCAGTATAAATATCTACTAGTTCATTAACTAGCTAAAGCGACGGCCTTCTATTTCGGCGATTTCGAACAACTTATGCGATCAGCGACATCTGTCTTTGAATAGGCACAATCAAAACTAAAATGCGCTTAATTGCTTTCATCGCAAATATCGGCTGTGGCGTCGGGTGAAGATAACCGATTCTGGCTCTGAGATTTCAAGTTCGAGTGCGCTTGGAGGTTATTCAAAGTAAAGTTAGTAATTTATTTCAGTTTAAATATAAAATAAAATATGTACACAAATTTCATTTCATTTGGAAAAAACCTAAATACTCAAACAATAAATTTAAAAATTACAACAAGAGATATTAAAAAAAAACAATAATAAAAAAATAAAAAATAAAAATATCCGCTCACTGAGATTCGAACTCGGATCTCTTGATTTGGCGTGCCAAAGCTTTACTCTGTCGACCATTGCCACTGTTGCAGCGAGCAAAATGGCGTATTTGTGCTTTTCACGGTGGATGAATAGGCAGTCCATCCCATCAACTAGTGTGATGCTACGAGTATTTCTACTGGTAGCGTGCTGATGCAGGAGCCGACAATTGACATCTCCTATGACACCGCCATGTTAAAAATAACAGTCGCTAACATTGAAAAGGGATACAACGTGAACTAGTTGGGCTGAAACGCAAACCAAGTAGCATTCTGGTTCACAACTGGCAGCTTTCCCTGTAGGGTATTTTCACACATTCGTGCACATATTTAAGTACCTTCATTCACTTATTTATAAAATCTTATTCTGTTATGCAAACTTCAGTTAAAATTCCAAGGTACAAGGGTAGTATGATAAATCTATCTTTTTTCTTATTAACATGTCAGATATAATCGCGCTGCGACCTGAAAATATCTGTTTCTTTCGGAATTCCTCATTCCCTATGGCGTCTGCCAGTGGGCTGCAATTTGATCATCTTCCCAGCTCCTGACTAGCTATGCACTGTATTCCTTAGATGTACCTCAGATCGCTCCAACCAAGGATCGAACCTGGCACCTACAGACTTGTAGCATACAACTCTCAGCACTCGGCTACCGTGGACGCCACACTGGCTTGCTTTAATTGCTAACTTGTACAAAAGACAACAGCTGGCCGTTTTTACCAGTGTTGTCATCGAAAAATCCCCTGATCCGAGTTAATTCCCAAAAATTGCATGTATTTGTTTGGCTACTTATCACCCGTATAACTGCTCACATAATATATTTCTGGCCCCATTTGTCCTTCTACGAACACATTCGCGAACACAGATTTCGATTGCGAAAACTTCAGCCTAGTATATGGTTGGGTATGTGCCCATTGGTAGACTTTTCTGGAATATTGGTCCAAGTATGCCTGCCCCGTACTCCCGTCGTTCAACTTTGATCCTTCGGTATACTCTTTGTCAATCATACATACATATTATCACTTCCCAGCAGTCCCTTTCAGGAGTTCCGACCTTGAAGGGCTGGTAGAATGGTAGATAGGCTGGTAGAATATAATTTCCGTAGCATGATGTTTGTTAGCGGAATGATCCAGCAATGACTTGAGAATCTCCAAATGACGCCGAAGGGTTAACAATGCAAAGTTGGAAAACTTGAAGCTCGAATAGTGGAATATTTCGAAATATTTCGAAGTGTTCAAGATGTTCGTGTTGTATGTGTGTGTGTGTAAGGGAACTTATTGAAGTAATATGTCGCTGGCATCCCCAACCATGGTCAACAGTCCCAGGCCTGGCCCATCACTCAATCTAAACTCCACTCCTCAGAGTAATTTCTGCACTTGTTAGTAAGCTACTGTTTACAACTAAGCCGTGCATAATTTCATGCAGTGATAGAACTTTTCTGGTAGCTACTGGCTGAGCATGTCTAACCGTCCCCTGTTTCTAAGACAGTTCATTGCAAAGCAGTCTACGTCTCCTAGAGTTTGAACTGCAAGGTTCGCCCAGTGAATAAATAAACTCGTAACGAAAGGTAACTTTTACCTCCTGTAAATCTCACATACCTTTGTATCAACTCGTTCCTCCTTAGCTTTCCACTAAACCGAATATTAAATTCGTAAACTTATTTTATTCCTTCATAAGAAGAAACGCATTTTCAGAAATGTTATTGTTATATCTTATACTACATATATTCATTATCCGTTGCTCTGCCCACATTATGTTATTGATTAGTGAACAACGGCAATGGTTCTTAAATGCTCATTAGAATTTTTAATTACCGGACAATATTTGCGTCATAAAGCGGGCGGCCGGCCTTCTTGGCAAAAACAAAAATAACTTAGTTGTTATTATAAATCGTAGGAAGCCATAAATAGCAAAAATAATAAGGTAAACAACAGCCCTGCATTGGAGAAGAAAAACAAGGACTAAACATAAACGCGTATACTTGTAAATATGTATGTACGTGCATACTTACTCATGTACATATCAACTCAGATATGTGTATATGTATTTGAATAATAATATATAAACAAAAGAATGTGCGTACTTTCTTCCAACAGTTTCAAGATAAATATCAGTGGGATATTCAAAGTAGAGTAAGTACTGTTTGCTTTGTGTGTTACCTATATATCCTGTTTAGAGAGCACTTACGGTTTAAATATAAGAAAATTTATCCTCGACGACGAAACATCCGATAACAGACGGAGGCTGATCAACTAGGATGGGGCATGAAACATAATAGGGAACCAATATTGCAAATTATAGAAAAAAACAGATCTTCTAAGAGCCCTTGTTTTGAATCTTTGGAAACTTTAAGCCTTCCTTGCCCAATGCTTTGTTTACTTCTTTTTAATTTGTTTCGAATTTCCACCATTTTTACTCAGCTTCCCCGATAAAGGAAAGTCTTCGGGAAATAAGAATGGCACAGTTCAAATCAAAATAATGACAGAGGAATTTCGGATTTTTTTTTTTATAATAAAGCAATAATTTTTGTTGTAGTATTTGCTTTGTTTGTATTCGTGGTTCTTTGTTTTTTTATAAGACATCAAGTTCATATAAAAAATCGAAATAAATTCGCAGATTTTCCGTAAAATATATCTGCTTCAAAAAGCAGGCTCTTTTTTTTTGTTCCACCCGTAACAGAAGAAATAACTCCGACTTTTTCCCATATAAAAGCAAGCTGGAATTTTTTCTGTATTTTTTAATAACTCATATAATAGTCAATTAGGTGTAGCTTTATCAAAATGTAGAATTGTTGAGTACTTTATACTTAAATTTAAAAAAAGAAAGAACATTTTTTCTGACTAAAGCCCACCGTCAATAAATTTATTGGGCCCTATTATATAGGTTTATGCCTGGTAAATCTACCGCAGACCAAGTATTGACCATACGTAAAATTTCTGAACAATACCCGCGAGGCTAGAATCGACCCTGACTTTCTACATAAATATTTGCCAGTTTTAAAGCTGCCTTCGATAGCCCGATAAGAAGTTGCCTATACGCAGCGATGTCTGCAGGTGGGATCCCTGCAAAAGTAATACGCCTGCGTATCATGACGGAAGGCCTCCTCTGCGATGGGAAACATTTTTCGTTGGAAAGAAAACGCCATATGTTTACGGGCGTCTTTCTTCGCCGTCAACTTTTGAGCTGAACATATATGTATGTATGTATGTTTGTATATTTTAAACATAAAAATTAAATCCGCAGCCAATTCTCTTTTTTTAACCTCGATGATAACAGTTCATTAGACCTGCGGTCAATAAAGCTTAGCAACAATTAAAAGGTGAATCAACCACTCACACTACATAAATAAGTCTTTCATTTAGCGAACAGTTTAGCCACACATCTTTCATTGGAAGAATAAGCCTTTGAACCGGACATTTTTATTTTGACCGCTTGCAATGTACTCACACACACACATATGAATGTATGTATATTAGGGTGGTCCAAAATAAGTAATGTCGGAATTTTAATGCTCTCACCCCCTAGGAATGTTCTATTTTCTTTATTTTGAAATCGAAAAATATTTAGAGGTCGCTCAAAGCGCTCAAACTTTTCTATGTATTTTGTATGGGAAAAAAACCAATTTTCATGGAAATGTATGGAATTCTTGAAAATCAATATTTTTCAATCGGAAAACTTTGGTTATCTTCAGGAGACTTCCAGTAACATTATCCAATTATTTATTTAACCATTTTTTAATAATGAAGATTCTTTATTTATTCCCCCATTGCGTTTTCTGGCATTTTCTAGAGGTTTTGGCGGTCCTACAAAATATGGTTACTAAGAAAAAATTAAAAAAAAATTAGGTTTTATTATTCGGAAACAGAGTCTTCCGATCGAAGAATAATGATTTTCAAGAATTCCATACCATTTCCACGAAAAGTTCTT